TAGCAGGTGTTTCCTCACAGAAAGCAGCTTCTGCTATATGGGGAGAGGAGGGAAGGGAGCTGTGAAGTGCAAGTTTAGCACATGAGGGAACAGCATTTTCCACAGTGTAGCGGGGTAGCAAGCTCTTGATAAACCTCCCAGTAGTGATAGATCTGCTTTCCTATGTCAGCCTTCTATTCTGACCTCTTGCTGAGGAAAGGAGAGGGCTTCCCTTGGCTGGCTCGCCCTCCTGTCATCAAGAAACCAATTTCTGCCACCTGGTTTGATGGCTGTGGGCCCAGGACAGATTACCATCTTCACTTTATCCCTGTCTTTCTCTCTCTTTCCCTCCTCCTGGAGTCTTCTTTTGATCTTTTTTTCCCCCTTTAACCTCCTTAATTAAAAAAATACAAACACACACACAAAATCTCTGTTCTGACACGTTGTATCTTCCAGACTACACATACATCCTCCATGCTAATTCTTTAGAGGTTAATAGGTTCACTTGCAAAATTTCACTCCCTCTCCTCACACTTGTCTTTCCTACTCTGCCATATGTGTCCTAAAATCTGCCTTTCAGTTTAGGACTTGTTAATTTTCCAAGCAAAAATTTAGCTCTGAAAGCTACATCATCACAACATCCTGCACTTAAATAATCTGAGTATGGGAGAGCACAAAGGAAACTTTGCTTGTTGTCTCTGCCTGTAGTGATGCAGGAGGAATGAAATAGGCTTCTCAYGGGCAATTAGGACATTCATTGCTTAGCTCCAGTGTAAATCAGATTACATGCTCAGGTAGTGGATTACTTGCCTGTACTAGTTGTGCTTTTCATGGGATCCAATAAACAGGCCTAGACAGGCCTTCGTTGCTGGACAATGTTTGAGATGCCTTCTTATATGTCAAAATATATCAAAGACTTTCTGTGRAAGGTGAAATAAGATCAACATTTTTGACTCTGAAGCCACTGAAGTGAACTCATTTTCCTCTCAATTCAGAGTTAAACCTAAGTATTTGTAGGTGTGCATGGACAGTATTGTTAGGAAATGTTTGYTTCTTATCCTATAATTTCTGAGGCTAAAACAAATCCTGTATGATTTTTTGTGTTTTTTGCTTAATGCTCCAGATATGCTGTTTCTTCATCTATTTTTACAATGTAAAAAAGCATTTCTCTGTAAGAGCTATGCCTAGCGCACAATACCTAAATGCAAACTTTCCAGAATCTGCTTCTTTTCTGATTTCTCCTCAATACACAATACATCCAGTTATAATACATCTTACAAGCAGCAGAAGATACACTAATTTGCAAAAAAATACACGAGTAAGAGTAAGGAATTCCACAGAATACTTCTAGAGCGTCAAGACTGAGAAAAGTATACTTAATTAAAAAAAAATCCAATCCAAGTAATTTTATCAATATGGTAAATCAGCACTCATTGCTCTTTGATTGGAATGGGCATGTGCATGAGAAGTTTCTTGGAAATCATGCCAAAAAGATGCCAGTCTGATTTTTCAGTGTATGGATAAATAATGCAATATCTCCCACTTCATTCTTCTGGCTTTGTTTTTTGTAAAATATAGAAATGTGTGCATCTTAAAAATTTTGCTTTTGTGTGGACTTGCAAWAAACCAATATTCTTTTAATACAACGTATCACTGAAAAAGATGGTCTGGCTCTGTATTTTATTAGCTAATAGCCTTGAAAAGAGGTCTAGGGCCTGGGTCACTATAGGCAGTGACAGGATGCAGCATCAGCAAGGACTGAGTCATTACTGCCTTCCTTTGGATTGAATAAAGTACAGAAACCATTTTTCTTGATGAAGCCAGACCACAAAGGTATTTCTTTATAGTCACTTAGAAGGTGTCACAGGTCTCCATGTTGTGCTCTGAAACACTCATATGCAAGCCAGCTCCATGATCTACATCTGTACAGTCTTGTGCTCAACCTGGTAAACTCTATTGAGAGCTGACATATAGGATTTTGTGTTCAGCCTTGTGCTCATTTGGTTGAGCACTTCTTGGCTACAGCTGGTTCAGAGCTTGGYCACAGCAAACAAATGGCAATCTGCATGTTATAAAGTAGATATGAAAGCCAAACAAGAGTCTGCACTGTTGGGGATATGAAATTGTGGAGTTGGGGTGGGGGGGCAATTGGTAAGCTTTCTGCCAGTGAAAGTTGGAAAGAGCTTTCTTTTTCCTATATATTCAGGCAAAAGAATAAGGAACGCTGTGGGTTATGCCCCTTATGTATCTCTTTYAATGTGATTTCTATTGTGTTGTGCTAATTTATACAGGCTGAAGTCTAGGAATGTCAGTGATTGATTCAAATTATGAAGTAAACAGGGGAGGAAGTTGRTGAAATCTGGAGTTATTTAGGAAGGGCATCCTTAAAACTGTGTTGCAGTGGGAGGTTGGAGACACGAGCATCTGCTCTGTGGACAAATTTAGTTATAAAACGYGGTTCCCTTTTAGTCAGTGGAGCATACCTGTCAAATCTGGGCCTTAGCTCACTTTCTTTCCATGGAGGAATTTCATCTTGCTGGCAAAACTGGAATTTTGACAGACATGCTTGATTAGAATAAATGGAGCATTCTTAGCAAATGCAGGTGACTAATGAATCCATGGGTAAGCTCCATTAATTTCAATACGGTGCTAAACATGTTAAATGTTATGAGAGAGGTTGCTGTGTATGTGCACTTACCAATTTTTCCAGTGCTAAATTCTAGCTGATTTTAGGTTCTTTTTTTAGTTCCCATAAAGCATGAGTGTAACCAGTGTTTTCGTATTTAGAAAGGTAAATAAGCATCTGTTCTGTGGGTATAAAAATCAGGAAAAAACAAYATAAAAATATATTTTTAGTAGGATCACYCATTCAAAAGTGGCTTATTTAGTGCCTTCATTTTCAGAAAAAATTGTTTCAGGCCCAGAAAAAATYTTTGCCAATTTTCATCACAGAGCARTATTTGCTTTTATACTAATTCTCTCCCCCCACCCCCAATGAGATTTCTATTATACTAAGGACACAACAATAACAAGCAGCCTAGAAACCAATGTTATAAACATGATGGTATATTTTGCATTCCCGTTTTATACTGCATCATTTCTACGTATTGATGTGACACACATCACATCTACAAACACCAATTTAAACTCGACCTCTTTTCAAAAATACTGCCCCTGATAAATTTGGTCCATGGAGTTTTAGGAAATGAAAGTTTCAACACAGTTTAAGTAGGTGCCAAGCCAAGTGGAAGAGTGTAAGAGATGACCATTCCTCTTCATCTTAGCTCCCTTGTGAGGGGCAGAAGTGGTTTGGACAGTATGYGATCCCACTTACATCCAAATAAATAAAGTTATCTTGTCCTTTCTGTAGCCACACTTTCATACACACCACCTCCATTCTTCTTCACTTCCTGCAGAGACTCACATCAGCATAGTGGTTGATAGGAAATCAAATCCTGCTGAAGGCTTCACAGTAAGGAGCACAAGGAGGTTAACAAATCACTCTCTAAATCTCTCTTGCTTGGACTTGGTCTTTCTTTCAGGATTATCTCCCTGGTAAGATAGCCACCATAGTTGGAAAAAGAAAGGCTAGAGATTAATTACARCACTTGTACTGTTCAGTGTATATAYATCAACATATATAAGGAATCACAGAAAAGCCATAGTTTTGCCTTTTATTGGCTTGAAGACATCCAAGTTTGGATGTTTTCATCAAACTCCACCCATCTGATAAAACTGCTCCAGTGCGCTGGAATGGAACAGTTTCTGCTGATACCTGGTTTGAATGTYCCAAGACACCACTGTTGTTGTCCCTAGTTGTACACTCTAAAGTGTTTTTCTCTACTGTTTCTTAACGCCCTTTCAGGTAGCGCTGGGCTACAATTCGACTTTTCTTGGCCTCGTAACCTACATGAAACAAATCTATSTCTCTCAACCTTGCCTTGAAGGTTTCCTTTAGGTTCCAGCTGCCATGGTGGAATGGCACAGAGYCATCTTCTGCTTCTTAGCAGCCTTCCTGAAGTGTGGAGGGGAACTGAAAACCGTGAGGGGAAACCTCGACACGTTATTCCAGCTGCTTTCTTACCAGCACTGAGTAGAGAGGGATAATAATTTTTCTTGATCTGCCTAAAGTAGCCAGTATAAGATGTMGTTTGTCTGTGGTCAGAGAGTATGCTCTTAGCTCATTTTCAGCTTGGCACCAACCTCCAGGTCCTTTTCAGCMAGGCAAAATGTCTGTAAAGACAGATGCATCCTTGGGGGTGGGGGGATGAAATCTTTAAAACCAGCAACCACTGCTTCCTCCTCTCCCCTTTCAAAAGAGGAAAAAAAAAACCCCTCTGATGCCTGCTTATGAGTATGTGGTTTGAAACAATGACATTGTTGAAACGGGAAACAACTAAAATCTGTTGTTTCAAGATATTGCCAGGTAAAGCAGAGTCTCTAAAATCAACTGGKTCACAATTTCTTCAACTATTAGTAAAAATAACATAGGTACTCCAAAGTATAAACCCACAAGCTTTCGAAGAATACTTTCACAAAATGTACAAATACAAAGTTAAAATAATAAGGCAACCTTCATTGCTGCTAATGCCTTGAGTCCTCTATCTGTCTATGTATTGTTACGACAAAAATAAGTGGAACACATAAGACAAGCTCTTTCTTTTTTTGGCATTGGCTATAATAAAAAGGTCTCTTTTCAACTTTTTTTGGAAGCATTCCACAGTGTTATGTATGAATCTTTTTGCTGAAAGGAATTTGAAATGAACTGTAAACAGAAAACAACCCCCCTTTTGATATAAGTGGAATTTTGTTCAGTACCAGCTGTTAGTAGCCATTAAATGATAAGTAGGCAGATTGGAGAGATGTTTCTTGAAATCAGGCATAGTATGCAGAACATGCTTTCATTGTGCTTCCTGGAATTAAAAGATAATRTGCCTTATTTGGAAATATGATGATCAGGTCTGTTAAATCATGCTCAATCAGCTTACATAATAACATCTATATTTTGTTATTAATTTCAGATTTCAGAGACCTATGCCTTCCTACCGAGAGAAGCGGTGACACGATTTCTAATGAGCTGCTCAGAGTGCCAGAAAAGAATGCATTTAAACCCAGATGGAGCGGATCATAAAGGTAGTTTTAGTGTCAAAGAGTGGGATGTAAAGTAATTTTATTTCTAATACCCATTTATATTTTCCTAGCTTAAGTGAGGTTCATAAAAATTTGGTAGACTGGAACAGTTCAGTAAGTCAGATCATCTCATTTACTTAAGCTGGAASGTAGTGAATCTTCTGCTTTCTCTTAAGAATGGAGGGTAATATCATCTGCACCCTCAATAGAAAGATGATTTTATCTGGAGGAAATAATTTATTTTACTATAGAAATGTTTGTATGGGAGCTTAAGCATAAGAAATAGATAGGGTATGTTTGCTGTAGTCATTTAGGGTAGAAGAACTCATCAATTTTCAGGGTTTGAACTTAGCTTTCCTTTTTCTTCGGGAGCCTTCCATTTGTACAGCCTACAAGCTATTGAAAATGCAAAAGTTAGAACTAAATGACATAACAGTCTGACTTTGACTGCAGAGTAGTCTGACACTACTTCCACAATTAATATATGATGTATAATAACTATTTTTTTTGCAGATAATGGAAAACCTCCAACTTTGGTGACCAGTATGATTGATTACAACATGCCCATTACTATGGCTTATATGAAACACATGAAGCTGCAGCTACTAAATTCACAGCAAGATGAGGTAAAACCTGAAATCTTCCAAGTCTGATTTTCTGTTCTGGGGTCTTTTGTACTTGTCTTTGAGGTAGCCAGGAAACTGAAATGAARATGATTGTTGATCCCATCTTTATAATTTTGTTATTGAAACAGTCAGTCTGAAACCAAGACAGGGTTGTTTTCAAGTAATCAGGTTGAGAGAAAGTGTCATGACTTACGACCCTTATGTGATTGGGGATAGTGAGCTGTACTGTGAATTGCCTGAAGGTGCTCTTTCACTGGACCAGTGGAAAGGGTGATGGGGGCAGTGTGCTCACTCGAGACTGAGTTCTGTGCCCAGCAGTGACTTGCATTGTCTACTTCCAGAAACCAATACCATCAACAGCTGAAATGAATGCCATGGTGTTCTCAAGGTTAGCAACCACGGTGCAACACATTGTACTGACAGAGATGAAAGTCCTGGCAACATCAGTTGATATCTTTAAGGCAAAAAGCTCAATAATAAGAGTAGGAGTTGCTTTTGAAATTTTGAATAAAAAGGCAGAAAATAGCAGGAAGAGAAGTAGACTGAGAATCAACCTTCTTCATAGGGAATTTAGGTTGAATTGTATTTATTTCTTCTCAAAGATTGTTTGCTTTCTCTGATTTATTCAGTTTGCCCAGATCTTATGAAGTGCTTCATCAATTGACAGGCACATGCCAAATTATTTGTAGTAACCTCATTTTGCTAGAAATTTGTTCATTTACCATTTAAACTGCCAAATAGAAGCTCAGCTATGTGCCAGCCAAAAAGCAGTTCTGCATTCTGCATCATTCCATCCARCTACAAGATACTTTTTAATAAGAAAGCCTTCAAACACAACCTTAGTAGCTGAATTATGTCAAGACCCTGACTGACTTGTGCAGAGTCAGCCAGATTTGTTTTCCCAATAAGTAGATATGGGCATTGGTGGAGATTTCATGAATTAATCAGCACTCCCTAGCATGGGGCTTTCATCACTCTTCTAGAAATATCTGGATCCTTGTTTCAGTTTGGCCTTTTTAATTTTTTAATTGCAGAGGGTCTAGGGACAGATCCCCAACTCAAAGTTCTTCATACACAAATACAGCCTGGTTGTCTTTTTCTTTCTGTTGAATTTCCTAATTATTTCAGGGATCTGGAAGCAGGATTCCAAGTAGCAGGAGAGCAAAGGTTTTATTCTGTAGTAGCCTTAGGAATTAAAGGACTCCTTGGTTTGTACACCTTTTCCCCTTGAGAATTACTACTTCCATAACAGCATCAAGCACTCATGCTGGATCAGGACCACATGCCACAGAGCTTCTGTGGCCTGAATGTTTTGGTGCAGTCTTTCTGGTCTGATGACTGGAATTTTTGTTAAACCAGTTTTTCATCTAGGCAAGCCATTGGCAATGATATGGAGGCAGCAGAACTCAACATTACCTGGTATTTCCCTGCCCAGCTCAGTTTTGTAGCTCTGTTATTACTGTGTATGAAAATGCCTGCAGCAGTGGATTTATGAAAGTAATTTTTTATATGTTTTAGTAATAGTAACTTTTTTAGGACTGAGTAGGCACGAGAAAAGATCTGGATTTATGAAAGTAATTACTTGTGTGTTTTAGTAATAATGACTTTTCCAGGGCAGAGTAGGCACAAGTAAAGTTCTCATGAAAAAAGACCAGTTCTCAAGATAATCCTTATGTCTTTTCTCAAAGCAGAGTTCTGCCAAGGTTTTGAAGTTTTTCCCCCTGGATGTATATTTTTTTGCCCGAAGAACAAAATGGCAGTGAAAATGTAGTACAAAGTAGCAAGATTTCTGGTTCAAACTATTTCATGCACTTAAAAAACGGGCTTGGGTTTGTAGGAAAGGTTTAATCAATCATATCTGTATTCTTTGTTGGGGAGGGTGTGGAATTGAGACAGGAGTAAACTTGGAAGCTGGCACAGTGATTRAAAGCCTCCTAATTCTCTCATCCTAAATTCAACATTTTTAAGTTGAGCCATTGATGAGAGAGAAAAAGACTTCCTTTAAAAGAGCTCACCATGGTGTGGGATTTAGAGCTGTGCTGCAGCTGCTACAAAGATGCCAGTGGTTCTCAGCATTTGTTCCCATGYCCATGTGTCCATGCAGATTCAGATAGTTTGGGAAGTGAGGTGGAGGTATTCTGCAGTGCTGTAGGCAGAGGCTGCCTATGTGTGTTGTTTTATAACTATGCAAGTGTCAGCCACAGCACCCAATTTGGGAGCCCATCAGATTGCCTAACTTCAGAACTGAAATATGTAAGCTGCTGCTTSCTAGTTCCTGCAGGATTCAATGAAAAATACCCCTGTGTTTTAACAGAGACACAGCAGTCTAGAAGGTCTGGGGGAGTTTGTTTTCTTATCTTACTCTTTGAACAAGCAGAGTGCATYTTCCCTAAACCTCAGAACCATCTGGCATCTGCCCTGGCCTTGTCTGTCTGGGGCAGGAGTCTGGTGTGCACCACAGTTCATCTGTGAGGGTGGTGTTTGGGTGTTTGCTGCTGCTGTAACTGGGGTGCTCCTACTTTATGTAGGGTAAGACACACAAGTGCCTGCTAGAGAAACCCTCACTCTTCCGTTTGTTTTTTTTGCAAATCCTTGAGAACAAGGTATGCATATTTCCTTATTTGCCATTGTCCTGCTGTGGCAGGGCAGAGCAGCCTCACCTTGAGTGTTGTCCCATTCTTGCTCCTCAATAGCATTTGCAGTGCTTCATCTTGATTTAACATGAGTTGTTACTGCAGCRAACTTGCTTTCTGAAAACAAGAGAAATGTCCGTGCAGACTGGAAACATYGCTGAGACCCAGGGGAAGAACTGATTTAAGGGTCTGGCACTCAGAAAGAGGCAAGCAGCTATATTAATATCTGTAGCATCCACTTCACAACAAGTACACAGTAAATCATATTCTAGATTGCTGTTTTTCTAGGTCAATTCTGGTGAGCAACCCAGAAAAATAGTCAGAACCYTGTCTTATCTGGTTTTGATTAAAAAAGCAATTAAAAAAATGAATTGGAAAAATATTTTCAAAATATTTCAAATGTTCAGAGCATTCAAATTTATTTGCCATATTTTTTCTCTAAGTTCTTTAAAGCAGTTTTCCTCTGAACAAGAGTAACCATCTCGGAAAAGTTATTACTGAAAATATATTGCCTTAGGTTTGTACATTGCCTCAGCCATTTATAGAGCAAGACTTTGTAAACTTAATTTCTAATCTATGAGTGGATGTGTGAACTTCACTGGGACTGAAGCCACTGAAGTCAAACATGTATTTTAATATTTTCTGGACTAGATCCAAAATTGTTTTGCTTTTATAAATGGGGATAATGATCAGAATTTTTACTTTTTGCTCTTTTCATCATCCCTAGTTAAATGCTTTGTAATTGGASTTGATGGATAAATCATATTAAAGATGAATAATGTAGAATAAAATTGCAGTGATTCTCCKGTGATTATATTTTATTTGCCACTGACTGCCATGACCATGCTCCAGACTTTTATAAACTTTCTAATTTTCACACATGCTTCTTTAAATACAGTATAAGTGTGACACCATGTCAAGGGAGTTTGATCATGTATTCTTACTAGGTCAAGTTGCTGTTTGGAAATATCTTCCTATGAGTTTTTGTGGTTTAATCCCAGCCAACAGCTAAGTACCATGTAGCCACTTGCTCACTCCTCTCCCTGCTCTGGTGGGATGGGGGAGRAAAGCAGAAAAAGTAAAAATTCAGGGCTTSAGATAAGAACAGTTTAATAATTTAAACAAAGTATAATATACTACTACTACTGCTACTACTAATTGTARTGAAAATAGAAAAGAGAAAAGGAGGAATAAACACATGTGATGCCAAATAAAATTCCTCACCACTCACTGAATAATACCTATCCAGTCTCCCAGCAGCAATTGGCCCCCTCTGGCCAGCTCCTTCCAGTTTATATCCTGGGAATGATGCTCTGTGGTGWGGAATATCCMTTTGGGCAGTTCAGGTCAGTTGTCCTGGCYRTGCTTTYTCCTGGCTTTTTGTGCACCTGCYCACCGGMAGAACATGGGAARCTGAAAAGTCCTTGATTTAGAGAAAGCACTACTTAGTAACAACAAAAACATCAGCGTGTTRTCAACATTATTCTCATACTAAATCCAAACACAGCACTGTACCACCTACTAAGAGGAAMATTAACTGTATCCCAGCCAAAATCAGGACAGTGGTCATTCAGTGGGTTACCGACTTCCATGTGGGAAGGGTAAAGGATTCAGGCAGAGAATATAGGGAGRTCTCCTCAGCCAAATTTGAATAACAAGGTCTTGGTAAGGGGTCTCTAGTTACCAATTCTTTTCTGGAAAATACTATGGAACCTCTATGTAGTTCCTCACAGCTGAATATCAGATTATCATATCACATAAACTCTGTATTTTTCTTCCTCTTCTTGATATGCTCTGCTTGTTTTCTTATATAAACAAATATTTAGCGTGATTACACTCCACAACAGGCGTGAGTGTAACAAATGAGAAGAGAATGAACTGCACATAAAATGTGAACAGTGTGTACAATGTTTTCTGACWTGTCTCTTTCTATTTGCAGGATGAAAGTTCTATAGAAAGTGACGAGTTTGATATGAGTGACTCAACCAGGATGTCAGCTGTGAACTCTGACCTCAGCTCAAATCTGGAGGAGAGAATGCAAAGTCCTCAGAACCTCCAGGGCCAGCAGGATGGTAAGGCTCTTATTTTGTACAGAAAATGTGGCATTGCCTTGTCTTTTTTCCCATGCTGTGATTTCATTTAGAATTTGCTTTTCTTCATAGGGTGTTTCATTAGGTAGTTTGAAATGCATGTTCCCTATATCCCAGCATGAAGAAGAATTAACCTTTTGCAGGTTAATTTATTTGTTGCTTGGGCAACAGGTGAGTGCTTAGACCACTACATGTCAAAGTAGTATTATCTTACTCTTCCTATATGGATATATCTGTAGTTTGACCATACAAAGGCATAAGAGGAAAGGAAACTCAAACCTTCCTGAGACAACCCAGAAAGATGAAAAGGTTGTTTTCACAAGGAGGGAGAGTAGTGTAACAGAAGCTGGTTATTTGAGAGATAGGAACTGGGATGTGATATTCAGAAGAAAGGAGGAAARCAGCAAATTCCTATAGGGAAAGAGAGGTAATAAATGAGAAAACAGAGCAAGCAGCATTGTATATTTGAATGTTAATTATTTATTGTTTACAACACAAAGCTACTTATTGGTCAGAGATAAAAGCTTTACTTTTCATAGAAGATACATAGGTGTGTAATTTTTGGTTTCAACCCTTGTTATATATCCAGTTAAATRAGCCTGGCTTGGAATGAACTTGCTTCTGCATTATTTAGCTCACAAATAGCCTGTCTATTACAGGCCGTGACAATGGCTCATAGTGGCACAAGAATGCACAACAACCAAAGAACAAGTTATTCTATTGCTATTAGAAACAACACAATGGCATTCTGTACTTGTTACTTGGGAATTTCCTGATCATGCATGCCATATCAGAAGTGATTCTAATATTTCTCTTGAACACTAAATATATGGGATTTGACAGTTAACCTGGATTCTTTGCACTTGGTGCACCATGGTGAATTGCTAGCTGGTGAGATATTTAGGTGAAAATGGGTGTGGTGCAWAGTGGCTGATAGGATCTGGTGGGGGTTTGGATTTTCAGCCCGGTTGCTCTCCAGACAAATAACAGAGTAGGGTGTCTGTCCTAATTTGATAGGCCAGATTCTAACCACAACTGCTTTTTGTCTGAATGTCCTCAAGCTGACACATTTTTTTTTTCAACTTTTAACTTAATTTCTGTCTACATACATTCACTAAAGGAGCAGTTCCGATGCACATGATATATGAAAAGTTAGTTCACTTTCCTGTTGAAGTTTGACTTTTCAAAGGGATCATATATTATAGTAATACTACTAACTTAGAGGTTTCAGGGACACTTGGGAARGTGCCATTTTTTAATGTATCTGGCTTTCAATGCAATACTATGCTGTAGAAGTTTCATATATTTAGTTTCTTAATAATAATTGTATGCATGCATATGCCTGAAATAAAAATTATAGCTCAGTACAGTAACCTGTGAAGAAATGCCTGTCATACCTGTCTTAACACCTGCTGCAACCAGATTCATGTGCCACATCTAATCATATTAGAACCTAAGTATGAATGGTAAAATGCTGCAAATCTGTCACTTGCTATTTGAAATGTATGGGAAATAAATCCACTGTGGTCTTTGAACTTCAGGTAGTGTGATCTCACAGTATGGATTTAAAGCCTTTCCTTCAGCTTTCCTTCCCTTGCTCCCAGATGGTGCTTGCTTACCTTCCTAAGGCAATCCTATTTTTTGCTGCATCTTCTGGCTAAAGCATCTGCTGAYACAGAGATTTGAAATAGCAGCTCTCTTCCTGCTTCATGGTTTTCCTTTACTAGCTGTTGTCAGGTAGCAAACCTAAGTGTGGCTAGTTATAGCAACACTGCTGTTTCAGATGTGGGGGAAGAGGCTGAAGGAGGAGCAGAAAGACATGGGAGAGGGGGAGGGGAAGAATGATAGGAAAAGGCAGGAAAAAGGAAGTTTGGAAGAAAATAATGAATATGAGAGGTAGAGGAATGGAAGTTGGAACAGGAAGGAGGGAAAATAGAAGGGAACCTAAATGAGTTTAGCACCCCCTTTTGCTGTCACAGGCTGCATTGTAAAATTTTATAAATTTAATAATTATAGCATGCACACACCAAAATCATCACCAAAGCATGAATCTGTGTGTCTGAAGTGATTCTTGCTCCCATCTCTCAAGCATTCTGTATGTCTATAAAAGTTTATATCAGCCACCACATTCAGCCTATAGTTAAAGACACTTGGCATTTTCCTCATCTGAAATGTGTCTGCTGCATTCTGGCAGGTGAAAATTTGCTGTTGCATAAGGTTGCCTATGCACATGCAGTTGGGAATGGTGCCTGGGGTGGAATGGGACAGCACAGGTCTTCTGCTGCCCCAAACAAGCCCTTGTTGGGAGGATGATTTGCTAATTGGAATCATTAGGAAAACTGTTGCCTGGAGSGGGTTAAGGACAGCTCCAGTGTACCTAAAGGTGATGTGTTTAATCATTTTACTTACCTGGTTTTCCATGTGAGGAAGCATGAGAATATTTTGGGACATCCCCTGGTTTTTTTTTTCCTATGGATTTCAACTGATTTGGTACTAGAATATAACTGTGTACCCTAGAGGAATATAATAATGAGCTGGGCCATGCTACTGAGGGATAGATGGAGGTTCCTCTTCCAGTTCAGTTTATCAGAGCATCAGAATGCTGACTCTGTCTATGCAAAAGAAATAAGATGRTTTCATAGTCTCATCCCTCAGTGCTGTACTTGCATCCTATTTAGACAAGCATTTGTCTTTGGGAGTCCATCGCAGAGCTCATACTGAAAAATTTGACCTGAGGTTTCCCARTTGGGAAATCTTCCAGTCCAATACTGTGTCCTGTTTCTCGTAGTTTGATTGCTTGAACCTATGTAGAATAAAGGCAAGTATGAGAGCRACTTAGAGTATCAGCTGAAAGCAATAGACTTCTTCACCCAGAAATGCCATGGTAGGTGAGAAAAATGCTGAGGAGGAAGGGCACAGAAACAGAAGGTGCTCAGAGTGGGTGGTGGTACTGCATAAAAGTCCTGGGCTCTGCAAGTGGACTGAGGCTTCATAATACTGGTATTAAGCTTATTAGGTGAAAAGGGTACAGGGAATTAAGGAAGTAATGAAAAGTGTGGAGAGYTGGAGAATTAYATCCATGGTACTGAAGTTGCTGCAWTACCACCAAGGACAGTTCCCACTTTTAATTAGCCTTTGTATGYTTTTAAATAACAGGGTCTTGGGTCACACCTGCTGGTGAATGGCTGAAAACAGCATCCTAAGCACCTGCAGGGCTGCTGCAGCTATGGGGTAGGAGTTGGAAAAGGGCTGCAAGTCATCCCTGGGGAGTTAGAAAAGGAAAGCAGCTCTAATTTGCWATTGGTCCATTCCCCAGCTGGGAATGGGGTATGGCTCTCTGCTTCCCAGTGCCTCAGAGGTGATTTYTCCAGCAGCCAGCTAGATAATAGAGCTGGATAATAGAGCTGCAAAKTGCTGATGTGTTTCTTTCTCTTTTGCTTGCCTCTTGCTTGCCCCTATTTTCTTGCTTCCCTAGACATGACACAGTTCTGTGTCCTAAGCTGGTTCTTTGGAGTGAGCCCTGTGTACAACTCATCGGCAGACAAAGCTCCCACCTGAGAGCTGTCTTTAATTCTCCTTTCTCTTCATAACACTCTCGGAACTCTGATGTTGCTGGATCAAACCCTTTTCCTGTCTCAGATCACAGAGAGCAGGCAAGGCTTGTGAACGGATTTGGAAATAAAGGAATTTTTTGTCTTTCAAGTTAGTGGTCCAACCTGTTAAAAAAAAAAAAAAAATTGTAGTGAAAACTGACCTCTWGATAGGTGTTCAAAGGTTCAGCAATAGCTCCTACCCTGAATGAAAATGGGACTTTTGTTGCCCTTGCCTGTTAGCTGGAGCCCTGTGCAGAACAGCTGGGTGTGTTCCCCTCCTCRCTGTGGTAGTTCATTAGTTACCAAGACATGAGATGAGTAGGGGGTTGCTCTGATTAGGGGAAATTAAAAACATGTACAACTCTAGAAGTGAGGAGAGTTAAGTATAAATTTGACTTTGCAATTTTTCTTGTTTCTTTTTACTATGTGAGCTATCAAATAAAAGTCAGGGATGAGACTATTTGACTGTAACTCAGTGAAAGATGCACGACTTATTTATTTTCAGTATTTCTCACGGTACTGAGGTATATCAAAACATATCAGTGATTAGTCTGGATTTAGGTGGAGGGACTGTTCTCTCCTCAATCTAGTTTTTAGGAAAGTATAGTTACATGTTTATACGTATTCATATAGAACTGCCTCTCACRGGCACTGTATGGAGACTTTTAGGTGCTTATAGGAGCTAGATATGAAAAAATATATCAGAATTCAACCTTTAACAGGGCTTGCATTCTCAATTTAGATGTAGAGATTCATAAGGTTTCCCTGGTTGTGTTTTTTTCTAATATCTAGAAAATKGAACAATAATACTGTAATGCAATGGAAGATTATGTCTTCCAGTAGTTTCTGATCTCTTGGATGGCACCAGTTCTCTTTCCTTGGCATGTTCAAATTGCCACGTTTTACATAAAATAGATGTAGGAAACCTGGCTGTCAACATTAACTATTCCTTTCACTCATTTGGTGTTTGTGACAGATACAAGTATTGGAATCAGTCATCTAAATACCTGTTTTCTGCATCAAAGCTATAATCTCCACACAATGGCTTCACCTGAAATAAGTAACATTAGCTGATTAAGTTGTCAAAACTGACTGTCTGTGCAAGAGTGCAGACTTGCTGTTGATTTATCTTTCTGAACTAAGTCCAAGCCAAGAGTTTAATCCATCTTTTTATTCCAAACTTGTACTGTTGTACTTCTTTCTGCTTTTGCCTTTATTCTGCTGAAAGCTGGACTCCGTGTCTTAAAACATTGACTTTTCTTTCTTTTCAAAGCAATTTAAGTTACAGATACATGAGTCCAAGCATCAGGTGCAGGCCAAAGTGAGGACACACTGGTGAAAGAGCATAATGGAGTAAATTGTCTCTGCTGTTATCTATGTATTGGCCCT